GAAGCCTTTGAAGCAATAATGTGCTTTCATCCCTCCCCCTCTTTGATCAGGAGGACAACAGCATGCCCATCATCATCTGAAGGGTGGGTCAAAGGACGCTCCGCTCCACAGAGCCACAATAAGTCTCAGTGTGTTTGGTATGTCATCTCTCGTCTGAGATTTGATGAGTCAGGCTAATTTCAGATGTCTCACTCTGTGTTTTGGATAAAACACGCCCGCGTCCCGACCCCAGCGTTTTAACCCAAACTGTCTTTTAAAGATAAACGCCTGTAATTTGACGATGCATCACCGAGGCTGTTTAAAGTCTAGATTATTAACTTGTGTTGTATCTCGGTTACATCTGTAGTTCTTGTTTGATCTCCTCACAAGGAGTGGATATGTTGAGCTGTTAGTGCTGTGATGCCCAGGAAGCCACAGTGAAACAAGATCACCCTCCTGGGTGTTGGTCTCATGGTGTAACTCTGTAAAAGTTCAGTATCAGATGCTTGAGATCACTGCTTATTTATTGTGCAGATAAATCACAGTCTCTCTCTTTTTAAAGGAATGTTGGTATTTTTAACTAAAACCTACAAAATTATTTATTCTATGGGAAAATATCCCAAGAATTTCCCAGTGTCCTGCAGGTTTTAGATGTGTCCTTGATCCAACACAGCTGATTTAAATAGCTAAATGATCTCCTCAGCATGTCTTGAAGTTCTCCAGAGGCCTGCTAATGACCTAATCATTAGATTCAGGTGTGTTGACCCAGGGTGAGATCTAAAACCTGCCTTCGAGGCCTGGAGTTTGACACCCCTGTTTTAGACTCTCAAGCCTGTATCTGCTGTCTATCTCTAGTATGACCACTAGAGGGCGCCATAAACCTTCGACTCTCAGTTTCAGGAGCAGCTGCTGCTCAAACTCCAGGGCTTCCCCAACAAAAGCCAACTAAACTCAGTCCTTTATAGTTTAAATAAACTCGAAAGACAAACGGACTGATGTGATTTCGCTTTTCTTTCTTTAAGCATCTTGAGCGCATTATGGGGAGAATAACAACAAAAAAAACATTATTGTTTATAAATGAAAAAGTGAAGTTTTAATTGCAGCTGACATCTGTGTAAATAAGCTGGATAATGTTGCTCATTGCGCAAATAAGAAAGTTCCCCTCGGTGCGCTCTGGCCAAAGGTGCCCCTGCTGTGAAGTCACAATTGGCGCTGGAAAGTCGTCGCCAGATCGAAGGAATGCTGGGAAAAATGTAATTTCCGAACACCCGGTCGGTCTTAGCGGGGGACATACATCAAGTGGAGGACGGCGCTTTCGTAAGAAGCCCATATGATGGTAAATTGAGAGCTGGGAACTCCCCCCTTATTAAGTAGCCGATGGTGGAAAGATTCTTCCCACTTGGAAAGAGGCTTTCCTTTCTTGGACATCTGCTGGCGGAGCTTCCAGTAGCCAGAGAGAGAGAGGAAAGGGGGTCCAGGAGCAGCTCCTGAAATTTCTTACTTTCCTGAGGGGGGAGGCTTCAAGCGGGCTGCGCTCACGTTTGGTCCGTTCAGAATTTTGGGGGAACTTCAATAGGTGAGTAGACAAACTTTTATTTCTAACAATTAAGTTATAAAGATCAACTTTTATTTTTCCTCACAATATTTTGCTACAATATTTACATTTTTTTATTCACAGTTTTTCAGTTTAATGCGCTTTGATCACCAAACCAGGGTGAAGGCTCTTAAAGCAAATTATAGAAGTTTGAAATGAGTTGTTGATCTGAGATTAGAAGATTTTTAAGATAAGAGCTCGATTTTTTTGTTGAGCTGAACAGATTTAAATGCAGCCACCGCGAGAGGCAGGTAGTAACTTAGATTTAGCCTAATATTTGTGTTTTATATGATCCAAGATATCCGTTTGGATCCAGGGCTGCAGTGTCCTCACATGTGCACCAGGCGGAGCGCACAGCCTGCGGTTAAGTTTAAAGAGTTCAGCCTGAAGTGTCCCGTGTGAGGGCGACTTATGAATTTATAATAATAAAAATAATGTCAAAAATGCAAATTAAAAACATCCAAGTAAATATGCAACAGGAAATGAAAAAATAAAACAAACTTTTGCTTCTGTGATTTTTTTCTCTTTTCCCAAGGGAACCCTTCCCCAGTCAGTGAAGATTTAGAGGAGTAATATTTTTTCCATTTCATATACATGAAAATGAATCATCAGCGAGTAGCCCGTGGTATCACAGACTTGGTGATATTATGAGCTCCTCCAGTCTTCATCCCCGTAGGTGTTATGTGAACGAGACCCAGCGAGTCTATGCTGGATGTAATGATCCGCACAGCAAGCTGCCAAAGTCAGCAAACAACCAGAAACGCATCCATTTTCCAGTTTATGCACTGGAAAATCAAAACTGAATTGCATGTGTTGGATATTTCTTTCACTCTCTTATTACTGAATAACTGCAGAGCTTCATTCAGTGGTAAGAAAAGCGCTCCCTCGGGCCATGGGAGTCAACTGAAGGCAGCAAGGTGTGGTTGGTTGTGTAAAGGAGTCCAGGTGGATCCAGCAGTTTTTTGTGTCGGGACTGAAAGCGATGACTGACTAATTAAAGTTATTTATCTAGATTTATATTCAAAGAAACATGATCCAGGGAGAACTGCGTGCACGCTAATTGTAAAGGCTCTCAGGTCATGCTTTAGCTCTACGTTCGGTGTAAAGCTGATGCCTGGACACCACAGTGTAAAAGTGAGATGTGCAAATGTCCTTTTTTTGTTGTCGTCTGCAGACTTTTTGATGCGCTGCTGACCCTTTAGAGCCAAACATGAAGATAGGGCTGTCTCTGGCCACGGCTGCCTTCCTGGCGGCCCTGTTGTCCTCCATAGATGCTCAAGGTAAATACAAACCATCTGGGCTCTCTCTCCCCACACACACTATTCAACTCTGTCCAGTCCTTATCTCCTCCTTTTCTATTTTCTCTTATCTCCACTCCTTATTGAAGCTACTGGAATTAATGTGAGCGATTCATCACAACCAAACATGAACTGTTTGTACTGACTGAATAAAGTTACTCTTATTTCATATGTTTGATATGTTGACTATGTGACTGATTCCTTGATGTCTGTCATGCTTTTATTCCTCAGTAGTGACATATGTATCTATCAGGACTCTTTGTTTGCTTTGATGTGAACTCCAAATCCAGATCCCACTCACTTGGAATTAAACTGTAATTTAGGAG